AAATAAATAAAGTCTTTTATTTTGAGAGGGTAGCACGTAATAGTCTCTAGACTAATAAACTTGTGGCCCTCTATATATTCACTCATACTCACTACCTCAACATTCATTATTTTACTACACGACACTCCTCACAGCTAGTTTTTGACTGAGGGAGGAAAACCAGCGGACCTGGAGAAAAACCCTCGGAGCAAGGAAGAGAACCAGCCTACAAACTCAAATCACATATAGTCCCGGACCGGGAATCGAACCAGGACCACAGCGGTGATAGACCGGCGTTTTAACCGCTCGGCCATCCTTGCTCCCCATAAGAGGCTACCACACAACACATCGACTCTTGCACACAATTAATCACCATAAGTAGGGCGAAAATAGTGGAAAAATAGAGATGAATCGTTCGGGGCAATGCGAAAAAGAAACAATGACTGCATATTTTAATGCATATTTTTATTTTTTTAAAGAAACTGTACGTGGGCAATAGCTTACATGAGAAAACTAGTTCTACGTTCTTACTTTTTCCAAAAGTACTAATTTCGGACAAAAGAGTTGATAGATCCAAAGTTCCACGCATCGAATCATCTATCTCAAATATAATCATACTCTGATGTTATTATGCAATTTTGGAAAACATGAAGCACTGCAATATTCATAAGTCCTCAGTTTTGAATTTCTTTAATTAACTCTTAAGGCCACTATTAGACTACGTTTCCGAAACTAATAATTAATTAGTTGATAGATAGATTCTTCAGCAATTTTTTACGTGATTCGTTAGCAGTTTTGTAGTTTTTGTTTTGGCAACTGTTAGACCAAGAGACCAAGAGAGAAATAAAGAGAGAGAACTTAAACGGGATACTGAAGGCCTGAGGAGACTATTAAATTTACAAGATGCATGCTTAGTATATCACCACTGCCAAGAAGGATAATATTCAGTGAGAAGGACTCCAACAATAATAATGATTAAACAATAACCAAATATTATTGGACATCTCCTTTTAAGGTATCTGGATACAGCTGTTTAGAACTCCGACAGGGACGAAAGAAACGGTTAAAAAAAGTAATTTAAGTTAGTCAAATCGTAATAATATGTTACTAAATGATCACCAAGGGATTCGTTAGGAGTTTTGTAGTTTTTGTTTTGGCAACTGTTAGACCAAGAGAGACATGGGGGCGAGTATTGGAGAGAGAACTTAAACGGGATACAGAAGGCCTGTCGAGAAGAATTTTAAATTTACAAGATGCATACTTAGTATATCACCACTGCCAAGAAGGATTATATTCAGTGAGAAGGACTCCAACAACTTAATAATGATTAAACAATAACCATATATTATTGGACATCTCCTTTTAAGGTATGTTATTTGTTTAAATACATATTACAAAATAGAAAATAGACTTGTTTTTCTTTTCCATTTCGGCGATTTAGGGCGTCATGTTTATTATGTCAATAATTCATGACAAAAAAATCAAATAGCTGAATTGGCAAATCGCACACTTTATCCGAACAGCAGGTTCATGACTAAACTATGAGAAAACATATTATTTACCTTTTGGTATCAAAGGAGGTTGCAACTCTCTTAATTTACCGTTA